GGATTAGTTTTGGTAGATTATGCTGATCTAGAAATTTATTTCTTCAATGTTATTGAAGTTATTCAGTGTATGTGTGTTCAAAGTAATCTTACATTCTTGTTTTTGTTATTTGTAGCAATTTCTCCTTTTAGTTGTTAATTTTTTTAAATTAATCTACATGTCAGGGTCTATCTATTTTATATAAACTCTCAAAAAATTAGCTCTGAGATTATTTTTTTAACCTAGTCTTTTGGGTCTTTATTTCTGATATTTGTGCACTTGGGGAAAAAAAGTGTTTATTATTATTTGGAAGGTGTAGCCTCTGAGTGATAGTAATGGGCTACGTTGTTACTTCCCTCCTCCTCTATTTTAAGTATATTAAGTATATTATATTAAGTATATTAAGTATTTATGGTTCTGTTGCTTTATGATAATGCCTTTAGAATTTCTTTCACATGCAACTCATTGTTGATAAAGTCTTTTAGTATTTGCTTTTTAGTAAAGTCCCATTCTCTTCTATGTTGAATGCTAATCTTGCTGGGTAGAGTATACAAGCAAAAAGTGTTAAGTAAATCATTACTTTAAAAAAATTCACTTAGAGATTTTCCTACTCTTTGGGAGGTGGAAGGGCTAATTCTCCCATTGTGTTTGCTGATGTTTTCCCATGAGTGGTTTTGGCTTTGCTTTCCATCAGTTTTGTTGTGTATGTGTTTCTGCAGGAGGTGAGTCTGGGGTTGTCATTCTGCTGCCATAGTGCCAAACTCCACGTTGTTATATTTTTTAAAATCAATGTGCTAACCTATGCCTTTTAATTGGTGTATTTAGGTCATTTAAACTTAATGTTATTCATTATACTGTAATACTTATGGCTGCCATTTTATTTTTGCTTTATGCTTCACTGTTTTGTAATTCCTGTTTAATTTCTCAACTTCATGCACCTTACCAGAACATTTGTTAGAATTTTTTTTTTTTATAATGAGACATGGAGCTACCATTACACATCTACCAAACTGACTAAAATGAAAAGATTGATAATACCAAACGTTTTTGAAGATGTAATAAAATGGAAATTTGCCTACTTTGCTGGTGATATAAAATGATAAAAATACTTGGAAAACAAAGACCTTATCCTTCAGTGCAGCAGTTCTCCCTCCTCCCCCATGAAACTCCAAAAATTCAGATGTATATGAAAAAGATGTTCAAAGTAGTAATGTATAATAAGAGGCACATACAGGAAGAACTGAAGAAGTTCTTTATAGAAATAGACTGACCCACCAAAATTAAAAATAAAATGGCAGCAACAGATAATCACATATCAATAATTATTTTAAACATTAAGTGGATTGAACTCACCAATTAAAAGATAGAATATCTAACTGGATCATTAAACAGAATACAATCTTCTGCTGTGATGAGACACACCTCAATTTCCCAAAACAAACATGGGCATAAAGTATCGGGTCGGAAACAATTTTACAAGCTAATGGGACTTAAAGGAAATCAGCGACAGCCATGCTGCAACATAGATTTCCAGTTAAAGATATGTAATGATTAAGTGAATGATACATCAAGAAGATATATAACACTCATCAACACAAATGCACCAAATGAAGAAGCACCAAAATATAAGAGACAATCACTGCAACTCTGGAAAAAAAACGCATCTGTGGTAGACTTCAATACCCCACTGTTACAAATGGACACATCAACAAGAGAAAATAAACAGGGATACAATAGCCTAAAGTAGAGAATTAGACCTAATAGACATTTACAAGACGCTACAACCCACTGTTCTCACTGTACTTGGGACATGCTCCAGAACAGACACAAAACAAACAAAAACTGAAACTACACAGCTTCTCAGATAATAAAGGTATCAAACTAGAAATCAACTACCAAAAGAAAGAAATCTTTTAATATGTGAAGACTTAACAATACACTACTAAAAGACTACTAGATGAATGAGGAAATCAAAGAAGAAATTTAAAATACCTTGAAACAAATGAGAACAAATTGTACAAGTACCCAAAACTCATGGGACATAGCAAAAGGAGTAAGAGAAATCTAGCAATACAGGCTCACATTAAGAAACAAGAGCTGAAACAGACTGCTCTTTCAAATTGAGGAGTTTGAAAAAGAACAACAAAAACAAATCAAAAAGCCAGCAGAACAGCAATACACCAACAGAGATGTACATTAAATCAAATAGAAATTAAAAATACAGTCCCAAAGGTCAATAGCTGAGTCTTTGAATAAGTAAACAAAACAGACAAACCTCTAGCAAGACTCATCAAGAAAATAAGGGAGAAATATCAAATCAATAGGATTTTTTTTTAAAAAAGGACAAACTATAACAGATGTTTCAGAAATTCAGAGGATATTTAGACATTATTAAGAACAACTATCACTAACAAATTCAATAACTTAAAAAAATAGACAAATTCTTAAAATTATGCAATCGTCAATCAAAAACCTTAACAAACCAATCACAACCAAGGAAATTGAAACAGTAATCAAAACTCAACCAAAATACAAGAGTCTAGGACAAGTCGGCTGCACAAGTGAACTATACCAAATGGTTATACATTTAAAATAAAAATAATATATCAATACAGAGGTATCTCTAGCAAAAACTGGTATTCAAGGGCTTGAAATGAATAGGTTTATTTTACTACAATAAGCACAAAGAACAAACTTTTAGGAAAGCATATCAGAAACTACCAGTCTGGAGAATTTCCTAGTAGAAATTCCAAAGATTAGTATGCTGTGAAGGAAGGAGTAAGAAAACACAGAAAATTTATCTTCAACGGTATTACAAAAGGTTTCATTTTGGTTTAGAGTTTTGGGATTGAAAGTTCTTTCATTCAGGAAGAGAATCGAGCAATTATTAAAATCTTGTCTCCTGGCACAGTTCAACTACCAGTTCCTGAATAGAACTGCATCACAAACTGCCTAGCAGAGTTGAAGAAATGTGTGTGCCCATATACATTCATACTGACACACAGATATGTGTATATCCTTGGTATAGACAGAAATATTTTAAGTTTATTTCAATTTTTATTTATTAGCATTAATCACTTCCAAAGCTGCATCTGTGGCGCTTTCAAAATGCAGCTTTCACTAGTCAACTAAACATTTGGAAATAAAACATCAAAATTAAAAGAAACCAGTTGATTTTAATTATAAAACAAATAATTTCAGACTAGTCTGTAAAAAGATAATTAAATTTTAATATAAAGTTCCCATCTTCTTGGAGTTTATATTTGAATAACCCAAAGTGAAGCTCTAAATAGAAATAAAACACATTTCTGGACAATCAAGATCAATGGAGGAATATGTGGAGCATCTAAAGGGCTGTGATTTTAGCAATCAGACTACTTCCTACAGTATAAAGTGAAATTAAAGGGTGCAACTGTAAGTGGAAAAAATTAAAAATCTGTATGTAATAAGCATTACTACGGGCAATTTAAGTGTCTTGATTTGTTTTAATATACTTAGTTTTAACGTACTTTTTTACTTTGCCATTTAAAATTTCCCACTTGGGTGTGTGAAATGGCTGGGAAAGAGATTTCTAAGTCCTAAAGAGTGGGGAGCAGCTCTTACAGTGCTGGTAAACTCATGCTTTCCGTATTTCATACTCCAGATGAGTGGTTCTTAGAGGAGAATCCGGTACGTGCCTGCCTTCCAGGGAAGTATTTGACAACGTGTGAATGCGTTTTCTGTTATCCTAACTGGGGATAGTGCTACCAGCAGGTGGTAAACATTCACAATTTACAGGCAACAAAGAACTCTGGCTGGTAGAAAGACATAAATAATGGTGATAACGTGATGAGCCCTTTATGCGGGGGAGGGGAGGGTCACAGTGGAAAGCACCGGTCAGTAGAGGACAAAGTGACTTGGCACTTCGACTACAGGGCTAGGGAAGAATGAAGTGTGCAGATTACAGAAAAATACAGGAGCCAAAGGCTGCACTTTAGTGTGCTGCATCAGGAGGAATGCGCAGACTCGTTGGTTTCCCTTTATTTCTTTACACAGTATTTAACTCAACAGAACTGTGATCCTGAAGAGTGGCATGTCTACCCGACCACATTTCAAACGCATAAAATTCAATTTCCACTTACCAAATATACTTTAAGCAAGATTTTGCTCCCCCTCCCCATGAATTCACAAAATATCATTGCCTCTGCAATACATGTAACCACGGCAGTGAAATTCAGCGGAATTCCTGCCAGACTCCCAGCTAGTGGGAGGGGAGGGGAGGGGAGGGGTGAAGAGCCAGGGTTTATGAGCCCCCTTCTGCGGGTGGGCAAGAATGGTCTAGGTGTTCCCGAATCAATTCCTGCACATTGCTTGCTGCGTGAGTCTACAATCAATCTGCTTTACCGTTAAAAATAAAAGGGCGGGGTGTGGAGACTTCGTTCATTTTTTATTCTGTAGAATGGCGCCTTCCTTCTCGCTTTCTAAAATCCTCTTGTTACTTAACTTTAAAAAAAAAGCCGAAGTAAAATGACCTCCAGTGAAAGACGGACCATAAGACAAGGCGAACAGTCCTGCCGTCCACGCTCCACGGACCCACCCCCAGCTGAGGCCTCCAGGTCCGACACCGCCGCCCGCGCTCCCCGCCGCCGCAGACGCACTTCCCGTCCGCGCCGCCCGGCCCGGCCTCACTCCGCCTCACAGCCCGGGTGCAGTTCCGCCGCCGCTCGCGGCCTGACTGAGCCTCGCTGGGCCCTCCGCGGACGGCGTGGGGGCCCCAGCCCAGGCCGCCCCACACGGGTTTCCGGGTTGGTCTGGTCCGGCGGGAACTTCGCCTCCGCGAGGGAACGACTCCAGGGTCTCCCCGAGCCCGCGTCGGCGCGGGCAACCCCAAACTAGAGCTCCCCTCGGGACCCGCTCGCTCGCCAATTCTGACAGCCCATCGCTCTCACAGCTCTAGAAAAAGGTGAGACGCAAACGAACGCCCACCAACACACACAGCCGCCCAAACCACGCGAACAGAACCACACAACCCCGCCACTCACCGGCACGCATGCGCAGTCACGAGGCCGGCGGGGCGCGAGGACCGCCTTGCGCGTGCGCACACCCTCGTCCCAACGGTGCCCTCAGTGGGCGGGGAAAAGGCTCTCTCCAGGCCACATGGAAACCTGAGGCAGCTTGAGAAAAAAACGACAGGAACCTGCTACTTTAAGCTTCTCTATTTCATTAGGCACCTCCAAATGTAATAAGTTTTAACTCTACTCCCTTCAAGATAAATGCATCCCAAGAAACCTACTGTGTTTCATACACATCAATAAAGGCTTCCTTTGTTCTTCTTACAATCAAGAAATTAAGACATTGAAACTATGATATTAGAAAACAAACTTTAAAATCTGCACTTCAGTGCAATTTGCCTTCCCATATTTAATGTGATTAATAACAGTCATCAATGGCGATTAGATGCAAAGTCTGCAAGATGTTAAGTGTGTCACAATCTGTAAAAACTGTTCTTGTTGAAAAAAGAACAGCTGCTAACTTAGCAAATAACCCACAATTTCTTGAGGCAACAACATTCTCTATGAAAACGATTCAAAAGTAGGGTCCTTTTTAGCAGCTGATTGCCAAAGACTCAGTTTTGAGTACATTCATTAACATTAAAACATCCAGGCAGAATACCAGGCACACAGGTACACTAATAAGGTTCGTTTCCACCTTGGCAGCTATCAAGTCGTTGTGATCCATTTATTTTCCGTTCCCCAAGATCATCAGTGTATTTCTATTGCCTCATTTTCTTTACCAACTTCATGACCTTACTAAATGTTATGCAATCTCTCAGTACTTTTAAATTCTTTCTGATATAAGTTGAAGATTGCTCAATTACCATATGATGTGATTGACAGTTCTTAAAACAAGTTTTCAATGTTGGGAGTACCAACAAGTTTTCAACATCCTTGTTTCAACAAGGTCTGTAACATCCTATGCTTTATTTTTACTTTGATGGAACTGAACTGATGTCATGCCTATGACAGTTATTTCAAAAACACAAAACATAATGCCAGAAAAAATATAAAGCAAATGAGTCACCATGATGAACCAAGGAAAAATTTATAAAGCAAAAGCAAATATTTAACAAATAAAACAACTGTATTTTTCAGAGGTAGTGTCCCATACATGGGAGACTGCCATGGTTTATGATTTAACAAGGTTTATTAAAGGACATTAATTTTGGCTTGAAACATCCCTTAAGTCTCCAAAGTTTCAGTTGCCTTTATAGTATATGACACAATAGTTCCTTCATGTACTACTGTTTTTTAAAATAACAAATTCTAAATGTTTGCTTTTTCTTTATAATTTTACTTTTGCGTATAATATTATGGTGTTAAAGACTGAAAATTGAGAGTCCAGAAAAAAAAAAAAACCTCCACATTAATAGACAACTAATCTATGACAGAGGAGTAAAGTATATATACTGGAATACATACTGGAACAAGGAAAGCCTCTTTAGTAAATGGTGCTGGGAAAAGTGGACTGTTACATGCAAAAGAATGGGACCAGACCATTACTCACACCATACAAGAAAGTCAACTCAACTTGGACATAAAACCTGACAAACTCATAAGGGAGATGCAAATTAAAACCACAATGAGATACCACCTCACCCCAGTGAGAATGGCACATCTTCAAACAACTAGCAACAACAAATGTTGGCGAGGATGTGGAGAAAAAGGAACTCTCCTGCACTGCTGGTGGGAATGCAAACTAGTACAACCAGTATGGAAAACTGTTTGGAGGTTCCTTAAACTGCTAAACATGGAGCTTCCCTACAACCCAGCAATCCCACTCCTAGGTATCTATCCAAAAGACACAAAAACACTGATTGAAAAAGATACTTGTACCCCCATGTTTATTGCTGCTTTATTTACAATTGGAAAAACATGGAAGCAGCCCAAATGCCCAAAAATAGATGACTGGATAAAAAAGAGGTTGTTCATATATACAATGGAATATTACTTGGCAACCAAAAAAAAAAAAGAAATACATGTCTTTTGCAGCAACTTGGATGGAGCTGGAAAAGATCATGCTTAGTGAGATAAGCCAGAAAGAGAAAGAAAAATACCGGATGATTTCACTCATAGCAGGAGTATAATGGACCAGGTGAGAAAATAACAAAAATGAACAACCATATACCAGAGACAATTTGCGGGGGTGGAGTGGGGAATGGGATCAAAAATGGGGGGCGGGGAAGGAAATGCACGGGATTCTGGTGATGGCACACAGGTGACTTGGTGATGGGAAACCCATGGGGATTACAATTGAGATGAAAAAAAAATGTACAAAATGATGTAAAAATAAATAAATGCAATCACTACTTAAAAAAACTGACAAACTATAAAACATCTAAGAAATATATAGAAGAAAACATAGGCAAAACACTCCAATGACATAATTCAGAAACAAATTTGAGGACTCACTCTCTAGCAGCAAGGAAAACAAATGTGAGTATAAAGTGGGACTTTATCAAATACAAAAAAAAAATTTCTATAAAGTTAAAGGGACAGTTAACCAAAGATAGCCCTACTGAAATGGGAGAAAATATCTGCACCCCATACATCTTACAAGAGGCTAGTATCAATGATTTACAATGAGCTTTTGTAACTCAATAAACAACCTATTAAAATGAGCTTTTGTAACTCAATAAACAACCTATTAAAAATGCGCAAAAGAACTAAATAGGAATTTCTCTACAGGGTGGTGGCCAAAGTGCATATGAAAAAATGTTTGTCATTAGGGAAATGCAGATCAAACCACAATGAGGTTTGTGAGAATGGCTGGTATCAAAAAGAAGAGAAACAGTTAAGTGCTAGTGAAGGTGTAGGAAAAAAGGAACCCTCTTTTCAGCAATTCCACTCCTAGGAGTCTCCCCCAAAGAAAATAAAAACAGTAAGTGGAAAGGAAACCTACACTCCTATGTTCATTACAGCACTGCTAACAATAGTTAAGAGATGAAAACAATCTAAATGCACCCAGATGATTGGATCAAGAAGGTATAGAGTATATATACAATGGAATACTACTCAGCAACAGAAAAAGATGAACTCATGCAATCTGCAGCAAAGTGGTTGGAGCTGGAAGGGACTATGCTAAGTGAAATAAGTCAGAAGGATAAAGACAAATACTGGATGGTTTCACTTATACGTAGAATATAAGGGTCAAAGACAAACTCTGAAATCTGACCATGTATCTGAGGCCTTCAGGTGGGGAGCGTGGAAGTTAAAATGGGAGAGGGGCAGAAAGTGCAATGGACTTTGGTAATGGAACAATGGGTACCTGGAGCGGTGGGGGAGGATAAGGTGAGCACACCTGAGGGGAGAAACCTACACTGTTAGAAACTAACAAGGGTGTAAGAAATAGGTAATTAAATTAAAAAAAAAAAAACTACACTGAACATTACCCATTCTTTTCCATTCTTGATTTCTGTTTCATGCCCTCTGACATGTTTTTTTCCCACAAATTACCTGGACTCATACCCCATCTGCTTCCCAATCCTCCCAATCTCAACCCCAGATATCAGGAAGTAAAAGTTATACTATAACAGGGGGGTTCCTAACAATACCTCTACTCAGTGCTTTTTGCTAAGACAGCACACCAGCAAAACACCCAGTAAAATTTTCCTGATGAACTCTTTACATTGTAATTTAATGGATTTTACAAATCATACAAACCTTAAAATATCAAAGACAATTTGATTTTCATAGAAGGGAAAATTAGTTGTCAAGTTACACTGGTCTTAAAAGATGTTTTAAAATAAATTTTAATTCTAGAATTCTTCCTTTTGTGTGTGTTGAATTTTTTTATTCATCTTTTTACTCTTGAGAAATAGCATATAAAAGAATGGATATTATTTTGAAAAGGTTACAACGTTTCCCTTTTTAAAAATAACTAGCAATTATGTCATTACAGGTTCAGTTGTTTTTATTCCATTCAAGTGCAAAATAGTCATCATCCTAAGCATGTTGCAAAAGATGTGCCCTATAACTCTAGTGCCATAAAATATTTTGAGAACACACTATGGAAAATTTTATTAAGGCTCTTCTGTGTTGTAAAGTGTTTAACTTTACATAGTAAATTCTTATTTCTCTACCTCATTTTATAACACCTGAGTCACCAATAGTTTGTTATGCATTAAATTCATGTATTGTTAGAAGTTGCTGGAATAATATAAAGCATATTCAATCAATTTTCTCTTAAAAAAAAAAGAGCATATAATAATATAGTGACCTCTACCATGAGGTATTCATGACTATTAACTCACGTTGTATTAATAGGCAGATATCACAGTATTTTAAAGTAACTAATGATAACTAGGTTATTTGACTGTTAGACCACATTTACCAGATGGAGCAAAAAGCATTCTTAGAAATAATCTTTAAATATAATGGAATTTACTGAGCATCTACTGTTAAATTTTATCCATCTCACATTAAAATCTTTTCCTTCCGAAGAAATTACCAACACTTATGGTCTTATGATTCAGAGAGGTTTTGTGGAAACTAAATCTCAACAGCTCAATTAGCAACTGAATCAGGTCTTTCTATCTCTACCAGTTTTTAATAGAAAGGATCCCCAGGGCAATGCATCTATAAGGAAGGTTACAAATGAATTACTGCAGACCAAGGATTTATACTTACTAAAGAAATAATTCAGAACTAACCTGGCAAAGTAATAAAAAAATGAACCCTATCAGAACTTGAAGAACACTACTAGTTACTAAGGGAATAAAAATAGTTGGCACATTCCCATTTAAGTTCTTTGTTTCAGCTTTTTCATTCAACTATGAGAAACATCAGGCTTAACTTCACTTTCTTTCATGCTAAATGTTAAAAATAACTTACACCCGGAGTTCAGTAGGATGACGACTTATGTGCTAGATCTGAGCTATATTTAGTGCTATATGGAATGTCTAAGCAAAAGATTAGTTCATTAATTTCACTTAACATGCCTTTTGCTTCCACTTAGTTTTAAAAGTCAAACTGAACTTCCATTGGAGAGTACAAAAAGGTCAACAAACCCAATGTGGGACC